GATTCCTGCTGTTGCCGTGACTAGTACTATTAATTACAGGAAAGAGGATTATTGCAGAGTGATATCATTTGTCAGATTATTTAATGTGTCTGCCTTTAAAAGCACAAACTTTAAATGCTATTTGATAATAGCTTTACTTTTCATAAGATATATTACATAAAATGAGCTGAAAATATTTTTCTCTTTTCAGTTGATGTATTTACATGTTCCATGGGATCGGTTCGATTTGCTATGTTGTGTGGTCTTTTCTTTCTTTCCCCAGAAGTTGTGACAAGTCACTTGTACATTAGGAGTGTTTAAGTGGTGTGATAGGATAATAATAATGAAAATACTATTGTGGCAAGACATTCCCTTTATAGATATAACTATGCTTACAAAGCTGTACTTTGTATAACCAGGGCAAAAAATGATGCTCACAATTAATTCACTGACAGGACTCTGCTTTTACAGATGCTGTTGGAAAGTGCCAGTAGTGCTGATACTGTAAGTGTAGATGTGTTGATTGGTGTGTGAGGAAGGGATTCTCTCTTCTGCATAGCTGTGCTAGTGGCAGTTCAGGTTGATGAAGTCCAAGCCAATAATTTAGCACTTAGAAGAAGAAATAGAAGGGTATGTGCTTTTTGTGTGTATGTGTGCCTGGATGCGTTTGACAGAGGAACCGGGAGAAGCTCCTAGAATTGTTTATTGACATAAGAAATATTAGAAGGTGTTCTCTTTAATGTTCTATTATTAGCACACATTGAATGATCACTACTGAAGTAAAATGTTTCACCCTGAATAGTAATGTGTGCTTTTTTAATTTCAGGTTTTAAAATTGTAATAGGAAATGGCTTTTAGCCTTCCAGGAAAAATAATGCGAAATTGTCTTGGTCTGAGCAGAACAAGTTTGTTATAAATGAAATGTCCATACATGCCAATGAGCATCCAGAAATTTCCTTTCTATGTGCCAGAGATAAAATGAGTGTGAGCGGAAGATGAAAACTTGCAGAGTTGTATGTGAGACCCTTTAGTAAAACATCTGTGCTGAGGTGGAAAGAAAAGGGCTTCCTGATAAGGTCAGGGAGGTGTGCCATTTGTTCGGAAGCAGCGTTTGCTGATTTGAGTGGTAGGAGGAGGGAGCAACAGGAGAAAAATACTAGCTCCCTTCCAGAGGGTAGACCGCAAGACTTGAAGCAGAGTTCCTCCTGTGATATTAGCAAGTGTGGTTTTGTTCATACAGTAAGTATTCTACGTGATCTACAGTAAGACAGTGACGTGAAACTCTGAGCACTGCATACAGTTTCCACAAGTGTGTTTTGGTAAGGAAATGCTGTTGAAGGTGAAGAAATCTTGAACAGTTTAAGACGTGTTTTTATTTAATTATTTCATTTCTTGCTCTGTTTTAGAGACATAGCATGCTTAAACAGCAGGATCTAAATATTGCTATGATGGTGACATCGCGTGAAGTTTTGAGTGCACTTTCTCAGCTGGTCCCGTGTGTTGGCTGTCGTCGTAGCGTGGAACGTCTGTTTTCTCAGCTCGTTGAGTCTGGAAATCCAGCACTTGAGCCCCTAACAGTAGGGCCAAAGGGGGTTCTTTCTGTAACTCGAAGCTGTATGACTGATGCAAAGAAGCTGTATACACTGTTCTATGTGCATGGGTAGGTTGGACCCACAGTTATCTTAGAACTGCTCAGATAATAATAATCTGGAGAAAAGGGAAACTACTTTCTCTGCATTTGGCTTTGCAGCTTTCTTGTTGGGGATACTGAATTGTCACAAGCTTAAATCTTATAGTACATACTTGTCTTTTACAGCCATGTTAAACTAGTTATTGCCTGAACTGGGAAAAAATAAACCCAAAGGACCTAATCTTTCACAGCATCAGTTGCAATGCCGTGATTGCAATTGAAAGATACCAGTATTAAAATGTTTAATCTGTTTAATCATTAATCTGAAATAGGCACTGTGGGGTTTTCCTGATGTCTGGAAGAAGTGTTTCTTCACCCCACTACTTTGCATGTAAAAAATAAAATGAAAAAAATAACAGCCCCAGTTCCCCCCCAGAAAAACCTTTCTGCTCTTGGGTAGAAAAGTAACACTGAGAAAGTGTAACCTCCTGGGTTTGGCTGGCACAATAAATAGCCTCAGTCTCAGTGCCATTTGTTTCTCAGCTGTCAGCGGACCAAACAGTGACTGCTGACCACAGTGTGCCATTGCCTCCCAGTTGGCCTCAGCTCTTTCTACTTCTTGCTCCAGTTAGCAGACCAGTCAGAACTAGGAAGGGTTAGTGCAGAGCTGGGACTATTGAGAGTTGGAGGGTGGATAAAGTGGTCTTAGTTGTTCCCTACGCTTTAGAAATGCGTATCACTGTTCGAGGTCTGTTATTTATGAAGTTAGGCAGTAGCTTTTTAGATGTGGGTTGTCTTTATCTTGCTTGTTAGGATTTGTACTGTATTTTCCTGTACTGCAGGATTGTATATCATAACAAGTAAAAATGAGGGACAGGAAGAAAGTTTTAGACTTAATGTTCGTTTGCATGCTTTTTTCTGATGCATGAGCCGAATCAGTCCCTTTAAAATTTCTCTGGATCACCATGCTTTCAGAATACTAAGTTACATTTTTTCCACAGGTCCAAACTGAATGATATGATTGATGCAATTCCCAAAAGTAAGAAGAACAAGAGATGTCAGCTACACTCCCTGGACACACACAAACCAAAACCTTTGGGGTAAGTTTGTGTTTAACACGTACAACTCAATCTAAAATATTTTAAGGAACCAAACTACTGATACTGATTTATTTCCAAGCAGTGAGATCAATTCTTATGCTACTATCTGTTTGCCAGAGTAGTGATCTCCAAGCTATTTGGATTATAGTAGACCCAAATAGTTGTGGAGTAGAGGAGCAGGAGGTACTCGGGAGTTTTGGGCAGTGTGTGTTGTAGGACATGAGCCTTTCTCCATGTGTTTTTATAAGAAGGCATTTAGCCCTTTTTTCCGCAATAAGAGTGACAGTCTTATCAGTAGGATGTTTAATACTTTCCCCACTGCCCTTGCTTACACTTTCTTGACTGGACAAAACTAGTGCTATAAGGTCTTCTGCCCTCCCAAGGGAAGATCTGTACTCCTTCCTCAGCGTGAGAACTGTCCCTCTGCCCTTTGTCAGAGCTCCCTAAGGCAACTGGTGATGGTTTCATATAAAGTTTAAGGCTAGTATATGAAATCAGCTGTTTCCCAAAATGTGCTTGTTGGTTCTACCTGATCTATTTTTGCCTTGGCTTTTGGGTCTTTTGCTTGGTGGTGGGGTGTTTTGTTTTGTTTTTGTTTAAAAATATCCATGTTTAATTTCAAAGCCAGTTACCAAAACCCAACTTGGCCACTACAAACCAGTGCTGTCTGATGTGTTTTTTATATATTGTCTGACGTAACTTGGAATACAGTCTGCTCGGGGCATGGATGGCTTCTGCGTTGTGATATAAACAATGCTCTAGAAAGACAAACTGGTTTTTGTGCCCTACATCAGAAGGATTGATCAGCAGTTTTTCTCACATTGAGGTGAAAGGGTACATGCTAAACAAATACATATCATTTTGCTTGGGATTATTAAAAATACCTTGTACAACTCTTAATAAAGGACTTTATTGTGGTTGGACTGCAGGGTTAAAACTAGAAGTCTGTAAAATGTATTTTCTCAAAATGTGACAGCATGTTTTGAATACACTAGTGAAAAAGATGCATAGATGCCTCTGTCTTGAAGTTGAAATAGTTTATTCCAGCTGGTTAACCAGAAAAACACCCCTCGTAAATCTGTTGTGGGTTTTTTTGAGTTTTCTTGTTTGTGGGGTGTTTTTTATGTTTGGGTTTTTTTTTTATGTGATGATCAATAAATTAGACTACTATGCTTAGTTGGAGAGTCTTGGACCTTTTTTAAGCCAGTTGTGTTCTGCTTCTGGTTAAGCATACAACCTGTGAAAGCTTGACCATGGTTTCCAGTTCCAGGACGTGTTTTTCTATGCAGACACAAGTCTCTTTGGGTTTAGATAAATCCCCTGAGATGCTAGGTATGTGGAATTTGACACTTGGTTTTTCTTGTGCTGCTTGAGGATAGTGGTAGCTAATCATTATCTCCTATTATATTTTGGTTACAGGCCTTTCATATAATTAGTTTAAAGCTTATGTTATACAAGCAAAAGATTGTAGGGGTGTAGGGGTATATATATATAAAAATTTTTTTTTAATAAAGCAAATTCAAAGCTTTATGAAAGTGGGGGTTGTTTTTGCTGTTTTTTTATTAAGATTAATCTTTTCTGTGTAAAAACATACATCATGGACGCTGCACTTACCGTTTTGGCCAGGCAGAACAATTCTGAAACTGAATGGAGAGGAAAATGCTGCATTTGTTTCCTCCATTCATGCTGGAATAAATCCCCTAAGTATTTTGAGTGCTGGCAGGTTAGTAAGGAATAGGTGGAAAAGCAGTATTTTAATGTACTGCAAGTAAAGCTTTCAGATTTGCCTGATAACGTGGCATGTGGACAATCAGTGTAGTTTGCTAAAGAAACACGACTTGCACTCTGCTTGCTCAGTTGGTACCCGTTTGTTATGCTACAGAAGTGATCCGGGTGTATCAGTACTGATATTTCTCCAAATAAATCTGCTACCTTGAGTGGAAGCAAATATGCTAACAGCCCCTAGATGGGGAGGTGTCAAATGGAATTGTCTTACAGAACAAATTTTATTTATCAACTTAGAGCTTCTGCTTGATTTCATTAAAAGAACCTTCTTCAGGTGAGTTGCATCTGTTAGGCATTTTATACATATAAAAAAGGCTTTGAATTGTAATTGTGTGTTTAATTATACAAGTTACGTAACTAGCTAATACCGCTTGAGAGTTACTTGATGTCCTCGGTTTCAGTGTGCCTGGTTTATGGCTACTCGGTTCCATTCAGGGCTAAGGAGCATTTTAACCTCTCAAAAGCAAGCCATATGATCTGGCAAACTAGATAACAGCATACGGAAATACTCTTGAGGAGCTAATTATTAAATAGGAGTGCTTCTTCCCCTGTTTTTCTGCTCTGTTGTATCCATGCATGCACTTAAACAGAAATGACCGTTCTGATAAAATATCAAGTGTAGACAAGCCTGTAAGTAAACATGACTTGCTATGTAAAGTTTGTTCTTTGCTCTATAAGTGTACTTTTAGTATATCCAAATGTGTGTTGTAAAGTTTGAGGTGTTTTTTAACAAATTTTGGAAAGTTAACGTAGGGTGTTTTATGGTTTATTATCGTGGTAGATGCGTGGAAGTTTGTCGGGTTTTTTTGTTTTGCTTTTTTCTTTGGGCTTTTGGGTTTTTTAGTAAGTTGTCATATGAAAATTAATCTGCCAGAAGTATTAAAACTTGTATATGTTTATACTTAAGGTAATATTCTGAAAAATTACTACTGGTTTTCAGCTGTAACTTTAAAAAGTCATTATGAATCTGGGTTTATAAACACGGACAGTACCATTTGTATCTCATGTCTGACCCTAACTTTACTGGAAGCTAAGGCTTAGCCTATAAAGGATTCAAAGTTAATTAAGGAACACGCTAGCATTTTTGTAGCATTTGTTTAGGAAAAATAACTAGTTCATAATATATATGGTATAGGTTTAAAAGAATGTTTTTTAATACTATGTGACAGTGAAGGGAGCAGTAGCACACTCAGTACAGAGAAATTAAGTGCAGATAAGAAAAATAGTGAAGACAGCAGGAAGGAGGAGAGCAAGTGTAGCATCACTTTCCACTATGGACCTTTCCAGGGAGCAGTCAGGTAAACTAACAGTGCTTTATTTTGCATCTTTTCTAAACCCTTAACAGGATAATGTACAGTCTTCTGTTTCTTATGATTTTTTCTTGCAGGGGTTGTTGGATGGATGTGTGGGAGCTCATGTCCCAGGAATGCAGGGATGAAGTAGTTTTAATTGACTCTAGTTGTCTTTTAGAAACATTAGAAACCTATCTACGAAAACACAGGTATGTTCAAAGAACACACTATGCCTCCTTTTAGGCTTTTGGGGACTATGTGCCATTTCAAAATAATGTGAACTAAACTAATAGAAGCAGATTTTAGGCTTGGTGTCGCTTGTGAATCACTGTTTTAAAACAGTTGTTTATGACTTAGTAGTGCTAGTGGTATTAGGTGTCTCTTGCAGGGAAAAAAGAGGCTCCTAACTTACTGTTGCATGTGTACGGTAGCTACCATGCTGATTAAAAAGTTTTAATTTCCAGTAGTCTCAAGGTTCTGATATAAACTGTGGGGGCACAGATGGGTGCGGGGGTGGTGGTGTGGAAATAACGCTTTGGAAACAAAATAGCTTTAATCTCCTGTGACATTAAACATGGTGTTGGCAGCGATCCTGATGCTAACCTGCAATAATATTACTGTTTTCTTTCCTTTCACCACAGAAACTAGACAGTTATCATAGTTCTATCAAACATCAAAATATGTTTGTCTTAGTGTTGTCAAGTGACTGGACAAACTAGGAAAGGGAAAAACACCATCCAGAGATGGCATGAAGAGCCAGCTTTTCAAGCTGAAAGCTGAAATGTGAGCAGCTTGTCTGACTTGCATTTTTAGAATAATACAGCAAGAGGTTTTGTAGCTTCTTGAAGATTACTTCCTCATAAAATAGAATGAGCTTAATTTGGTTGTATTGTAATTATAATAGACTTCATAATTATACTCTTCTCATATTAGTTATCTGAGCTATCACATGCTTAAATTGAATACATTGTGTTATAAATAAACCTTGTTTGGCTATCTGTGCAGTAATCTAATAATTCAAAATATGTTTAAAGGTGCTTGTAGTGGAAACATTGCTCTTACACAGCAGGCAACAGAGGAAACTTTTTTTTTTCTTATTGCTTATCACTCGCTTGAGTATACTTTAAATACTTCCTATAAAGTAACTTGGAGTGTGTTACTTGAGAGGAATTTTGTTCTGGCTTGTACTAATGATTCAGTTTGTTCACTATTGGATTTCTGATCTTTGAACAAAAATGGAATTGCATATCCATATAGGAATTTCTCATATTAACAATTAGCCTGACTTATGCCTTGGGGCATGAAAGTTGATATCCAGACTTGTAATATATGATAGGCAGTATAATACTTATAGTAAACTTGCGTGGCTTGCAGCCAAAGTCTTCCTATTTTACCTTTTGAAGTAACATAAACCTTATGTGACCTAGTTTAAATATAGCATGCGCTATTAAATAGCTCAGTATATTATAACTTAGACTAAGTGGTTCTAAATTTCTGCTTGAATAAGAATTCAGTTCTGTTATGTTCTGTTCTAACACAGGTTTTGCACCGACTGCAAAAATAAAGTACTTCGGGCATACAATATTCTTATTGGTGAGCTAGACTGCAGCAAAGAAAAGGGCTACTGCGCTGCGCTTTACGAGGGTTTGCGTTGCTGTCCCCATGAACGTCATATCCATGTATGCTGTGAAACAGATTTCATCGCACACCTATTGGGTCGAGCTGAACCAGAGTTCGCAGGAGGGTATGAGTATGTAATTTGCTAGAGTGGGCTATCTAGCGCTTTGCTTCTTTATTTTATTATTGAATGTATTTTGCGAAAGTGATTTTTGCCTCCTTGCTGCATAATAAACTTCTGAATGTAAATATTCATATTGAAGTAGACTTTCAACATAGTGCTTCAAAGTAGCAGAGATTTTATATGTGCTTTTGACTTTTAAAGTGCATTTAACTCTGAAGGCAAGACTGAAAGAAATTGCCAAATGTCTTCTAGTTCATTTGTTCGCTCACTAGGGCTGCCTGCTTTTCCATTGAGGTGTTCAAAATATGCGAAATAGAAAGAGAACCTTGATTGACAGTTTTACCAAATGCCAAGTGTTCAGTTTAGTTTTGTCGCCATTTTTATTTTGTAGTAATTTCTGAACCTGTTTTAGCATCTTAAAATTTTCCAATGAAAAATACAATTCTGAGCCAAATATCGCTAGAACTCAATCATAACTGATTAGGAGGGTAAATCCTTTTCTAATGATTTTTCCTTAATAGATGATAGGTAGAGATTAATATTGAAATATTTTTACTTTGTACGGTAAGTACTGTATAAATTTCTATGTGTGTTTATTCAGCTTCAGTTAACTGACGCGTAAATGTCTGGGAAGCTGAATTATTTGCTATATGAACTAAATACAAATTCTAGGAAAGAAGAGAATGGCTGTGTCTCTTTGGCATTAAAACTCTGCCGATCCCTCCTGGTAGGAGCAAGCAGAGACTGATGGGGCGACACCTCCAGAAGTCACAGGTTGAAAGGCATAGTGCAGCTTAACAGTGCCACGCACAGAGCAACGTGTCCGGAATGTGGTGGTGGTTTTGACCTGGTCCTTTCTATTTTGCATCCGCATGCAGCACAGCAGAACTCGATTAAAAAAAGCTGCTCATGCAAACATATCTTCAGTTGTACATAAAGAAAATACGTCATTGAACTGCTTTGATCTCTTGGTAGACTTCCAGCTACTTTAACCATACTATACTTTGGTTCAACTCTTCCTTTAGACGAAGAGAAAGGCATGCTAAGACAATAGACATAGCCCAAGAAGAAGTTTTGACCTGCCTGGGTATTCATCTTTATGAAAGATTACACCGAATCTGGCAAAAGTTGCGGGCTGAGGAACAAACATGGCAGATGCTTTTTTACCTAGGTGTTGATGCTTTACGCAAAAGCTTTGAGGTAAAAATCCAATTTTATCTAACTTGTATTTGAATTGCTGTAGTAACTGTGTGCACTTTCACTAAAATTATTTTTCTGCTTTCTACTAATGTTGGGCTGGAAGGAGCTTCAAGGGTGTTGCATTCAATCCCTTGTTCACTGCAGGCGACAGTTGTGTAATATCAATGCATAGCACAACTGAGCTGCATTCCAATGTGAAGTCTACTGGAGCATAAAGATTGACGCTTGCTTTTACTTTCCAAGCTGCATGTTACAGTACGCTGGATCTTCTGTGTTTTTAATTCACAGTGAAGGTATTTCTACCTGATAGCATTTATAGTAGCTCTGGCTACAACAGTTTTATTTGTCTTACTAGTAAAAGTGGAGGATGTGCTTTTAAATTACAAACACAACTGCTAACCCTGGCATTCAGCGTGTTTCAAATGCACTCTAATCCTGTGGGGTCTTGAACTTCAGACAGAACTCCATGCAGTTCCTTCAACCTGTGCCAATAGTATATTCCTCTTCGGCTTGATGTAGATCTTTTTTTGTTTTATTTATCTTCTGTTCGTAATGACTGTTCTCTAAAAATTTTTAAATATCAGCAGAGGAAGAACAAAATCAGTTTGGGAAAGATCACAGTAGAACCCTAATTTAGTTAGTTCTTGCAGGTTTTTTTTTTTTACAAGTAATCTTTTTTAAAGACTTACACTGCTGTGGAAGTGGTGTTGGGCTGGGTGCGCTGTGGCAGTTTTGTCAGGTTTTGTCTTGATCTTTAATCTAGTAAAGTATGGTGTTGAAAATTCATTTACATGTAAAACTCGGGTAATTATACTGGTATGCAAGGTTAGCTATGAATTTGAAGTATAGAGCTGTTGTATCTTTATATGAAGTCCTTATCTAAGGTGAGTGGGAAAGATGATGTCTCATTTGGGTTTAAGGAGTTCCCAGAGGGATCTGGAAAAAAGGCACAAAACCACAACCCATGAATTTATTTTAGTTCTAATGTGTTTTTTTCTGTGTTAGATAATCACAGTATATCTACCACGTAAACACAGATCAAAAAAACGCATTCAAGTCTGCAGCTTTTCACTGGAAACTGTGAATTTGGGCCATAAGTTAAATGCAGTGCTCCCCCTGTACTTCCATCTCCAGCAATCTAAATTTAGCGACTAAATGTGGAGAGGCAGTTTTCTTCTATAGTCCATAGTTGTGTTGCTGTGACTTTATAATAAAAAGTACATACCAGCTATTTTCCTCCTCCTTTTTTATAAATGTAAAAGCTTGAATTGTGTTAACATCTATAAATAGATCTAACCTCTTATAAACAGATGGCTGTGGAAAAAGTGCAGGGTATTAGTCGATTGGAACAGCTCTGTGAAGAATTTTCAGAAGAAGAAAGAGTGCGAGAGCTTAAACAAGAGAAGAAGCGCCAAAAACGGAAGAACAGACGGAAAAATAAGTGTGTATGTGAGATCCCTACTCCTTTGCAGGCAACAGAAGAGAAGGAAATAAATCAAGCAAAGGTAAACATTGATAGCATTGGCTTTTTGCTGGTGTTAAATAACTAGATTGCTGATTCAGTCCTTCATTCATCAGCTTACTGTTCCATGTTAGAACTCTTGAGAGGTTTTTTCTGTATTTCAGGTTTGGGAACTAGTTTTTGATCGCTAGTGGAATGTAATACTCTTTCAGATTAGTACGGTCTTTTTGTAAAGTAATTGCCTGGAACTCCTTAGCTTTTGGGGGTTTGGTGGTGGTTTGTTTTTTGGTGTGGGGTTTTTGGTTTTTTTTTTTTTTTAAATCCTAAATCTAGGGGGTCAGGTTGTGCTAGAATATTTTTCAGCTATTGTTGATCACTCAGAATATGGGAATTCAATAGTAGCAGACAACTACCATTAAATTTTGGGGGAGAGGAAAGCTTTAATTGACTAAGTGCAGTTATTATTCTTCTAGATCTCTTGACTGAACCTGATGGGCTAACTGTAGGTCATATTATTGTGGGGAGAGTAGTTTGGGTTTTTTTAGTTGTCTTATACTTCTGAAGAATCACAAGCAATGCTGTGGCTGTTAATCAGTCCCCATCAGCTGTGTTTTCTTGTGGAAAGAGTATCCTTTATAAAGATGCTGGCTGAGCTACTTCCAGTACTTGTGAGTATTTTTGTTTGTTTGTTTTTTGTTTTAAGGAAAACTCAAACTTCACGGAAAGTAGTTGCAAAGCTTGTGGTAGCACCGAAGAAGCGAACAATTGTGTAGAAGTAATTGTTACTAATGAAAGCACTTCTTGCACCTGTCCTAGTAGTGGTACCCTATTAGGTTCACCTAAAATCAAGAAAGGTATGTTAAAGGTCATTATTCTTAATTTTTACAAACACCTACCGTTTGTGGGGTAAACGGTGCTCAGCTAGTTTTAAAAATAACTTTTTAAAGAATTCTTTCTTGTTAGAGGCATAACTAAAGAATACACAGCAGCTACTAAAGATTCCTGTAACGGTGTGCTTTGTCTCAGGTTTATCCCCGCACTGTAACGGTAGTGATTGCGGCTATTCATCTAGCATGGAGGGCAGCGAAACGGGATCTCGAGAGGGATCAGACGTGGCCTGCACTGAAGGCATTTGCAACCATGATGAAAACGGTAGGTTCGATAAGAACGTGCTACTGGGTTTAGGATACACAAAATTTAACACGTCTGAGAAGAAAATTCCCTGTGTTTTGCAGGAGATGATTCATGTGTCCATCGCTGCGACGACAAAGAGGAGGACGGAGACAGCTGCGTGGAATGTTGGGCTAATTCGGAAGAGAATAGCACAAAAGGCAAAAACAAAAAGAAGAAAAAGAAAAGTAAAACTTTGAAGTGTGAGAATGAACATGTAAGGAACTTAGCTATTCCAGAATGCTTATCTAAATGCATACATTTTAAAGTAGGTACAAAAGAATTTCAGATTTCAATTGTGACTGATGCTGTAAACAGGGTAACAAGGATTTTCTGTTACCTCTCCATCTGAGTTTTGAAACCGAGATCCTCCCTCAAATGGGTGTTGGTAGAAGGAGTCTCTGCTCTCCTGTGTTCTTAAGCACGTGCACTTTTGCACGCACTCGGTGAATTAACGTGCCGTTCCTCCCTCCTCCCCAGGCACATGTGGTTCAAAAATATATATCCTTGCTGTCTTTTTGAACTTTTTTTCCTTTCGTCTTTCCCTCTGCTTCCATCTGAAACTCAAACATTTCAGGTTTAACACTGCTCGTAGTTCATTACAGGCTATTTTCAATTTTAGATTCAGAAACTTGGAAGCTGTATGGCAGATCCAGGTAACAGAGAGACCTCAGGAAATATCATGCACACAGAGTTTCATCGCGACAAGACCAAAGACACACATGCTGAAAGCTGCTGTAGCTCAGAAAAAAGCGGGCAGCAGTTGCCTTGGTTTGAGCATATGAAAAATGTGTCACAGTTTGCAGAACCTACAGAAATGTCACTTGTTCCCGATACTGGAAAAGGTGCCAAGAGCTTAGTGGAACTCCTTGTAAGTAACCACTTACTTTGAATTTCAGGTTGTGGCATACTGCTTTAAATCCTTGGGACTGAGGATGGGGTTTAGAACTCGGATCCCAGTGAAGAACTGTTACGAGAGAGAATGTAACTGAACCTGAGATTCATAGCTTACTCTCCCAGGGTGCAGTTTGTTTGTTTTCACGTGTTCTCTGCAAAGTGTACAACTCGATGCTTTGCAGAGGAGAAATTGCCTGTCACTGGAATGCAAGCGACAGAACTTGTATTCTGAGTATTCATTATCCCATACAATGAAGCATGCATTATTGCTGCCTTCATGCCTCAAATACTACTTCCCACTACAGGCTCCTTGCGCAACTTTCTTTTCTCTCCCTTTCCTTCCCTTCTCCTTCCCCTTGCTTTACATCCTTTCCCCCCCCTCCTCCCTCCCGTTTTAAACTCTGATAAAAGCCACCCTCTTTCAATGGAAATGTGCTAAGACTCTGAAGCTTATTCTGGTAGATTCTGGGATTGTATAGGCTGCCTCTTGCCCAAAAAATAGCGGAGCATTGTGTGTGGATCAGGTGGCTGGATTAGCCAGCTGAGACTTGGGGTGTCGTGACATGAAGGCTGCATCTTTCCTCAGAGCAATCACACAACGTGTATGATTGCAAGACAGGTGTACTGCACGGGAAGGGCCATGCTCGAGTTCTCAAATCCCTGTTTTCATTTGTAGGATGAGTCTGAATGCACTTCTGATGAGGAAATCTTTATCTCACAAGATGAAATACAGTCCTTTATGGCAAACAACAAGTCTTTTTACAGCAATAGAGAACAATACCGACAGCATCTGAAGGAGAAATTTAATAAATACTGCCGCTTAAATGATCACAAGGGGCCCATTTGTAATGGTTGGTTGACAACGGCTGGAGCGAACTAAATACAATAAAATAGCTCTGTCTTTCACTGAAATTCTCAAGATGACTACTGCGCCTTCTCTTTCAAAAACTTAATTTAGTGACTTATGGCAAAATTTTATCTTAAATTAATGTGATTCTTTTTTTTCTTGGTTTTTTTTTTTGGGGGGGGGAGGCTGGTGGAGGTGATTTCATTAATTTTGTTCTTTCTTCAGGCTTGTATCTTTAGTTGAGTAGCTGTGCAAGCCTCTCTTATAATTTAAGCCATCTCTTTTCATTAAATGTTTCTCTTACTGTGAGACTTACAAAAAGCAAACTAGTGGCAAAGTAATGTTGTACCTATAATTCTGTACAGAATGACAATGAGCTGAATATAAGATTTTACAAAGTAGACATCCATTTGCAAAATGTTTTGGATGTAATATGTTAAAGCGCAATGTGCAAAATTTAAATAAAGAATATTTATTAATATGCATAGTAAAAGTTGGTGTACGCGTTTCTACTTTTAACGCTCCTTCCCAGCGGTCTGAACTCTTGCTGTTCAGGTGGACAGCAGTCGCTTTGGTCTGCACAGCGTCGTGGAGGACGCATGCCTGGGAAGAGTACAGATCCTTCAGCCCCCGGGCTCCGTGGTTCTCCGACGTGTGGTTTGGAGATCTGCGGGTCATTGCCAAACAAGCTGGGTCCGCGACGGCCCCGTTGTGTCGGTGTGGTTGGTGTACTCAGCATCGCGTGGCCGTTCCGCTTCCAGGCTCCGGGATAATAATCGGTGCGGCTACACGGAGCTCTTGGCTGTCTCTAAACAGCGTGGTGCTGTGTGGACGTGCTGTACGAGTCGTGACGCTGCTGCTGTGCCCAAGGTCGGCGTGTTCAGTTTGGTGATGGTACCCAATTTGTGAGCACGCAGCCTGTACCATTTTGGGGCTTAATTTAGTTTTTCATCGAGACACTGATGCCAGTGAGTTAGGAGACTGCTGCGCTCCTTTTCCTTCTCCTCTGACAATGCAGACTTAAGGTTTCTGCATGAGCCCATCAGAACAAAATGGAACAGAAAGCAGGTTTTCAACACGCCTTACGGTTTTCTTAATGGAATAATGGACAGAACAGGAGTGCCTTTGCATAAATACCCTTTTAGCCATATCTTGTTCTTACAAATATGGTATGTAATGGCATGGCTTCTTTGTGAGAGGGAGATCTGCCAAACCTTGGAGATGGAGGATGTGGGAGATTAAGAAAAAAACAGTTTAAAACCTGGTACAAATCGACCAGACTGGAGGTGGCGACACGGTTGTGCGGGGTGAGCATCTGCGTTGGGCTGACGGGAGCTGACTTCTGTGGCGCTCACACCTAGAAGCTGTTACATGTTGGGGTGTCGAGAAATGGAGAGTAGTCGTCGTACAAGTACAACTTAAAACATGTAGGAATTAAAAATGATGTATGCACGTCGAAATTGAGATCCAAATGCTTTCTTCATCAGAAAAAAGCCCGAAGAACTTTTATATTTAAAGGAGCTGATGCTCTGTTAATGCACACCTCCACTTGGTTATTTTATAGCTGTTCTACAAGATCAGATGTAAAAAATACATTTTTGAGTGAGTTTTAACTTCATTTTTTCCAAGTTAACAGATAATACTAATAACTATCCCTTTGGATATTAGTTAAGATATATTTACTGGTTATTTCACTCAATTACAAAACAGAAGAAAACTATGAAGATAGGAATGCTTTTTTTTATATGACAATGCTTAGATTTTGGTAGGAGCTGCCATTAAGAGAAGAAAATTCTGTTTTGGGGAGGGGTAAGCAGAATTGCAGAATATCACTCCTAATTTCCTCATTTTCTGCCTTTGGATATTAGTTAAGATATATTTACTGGTTATTTCACTCAATTACAAAACAGAAGAAAACTATGAAGATAGGAATGCTTTTTTTTATATGACAATGCTTAGATTTTGGTAGGAGCTGCCATTAAGAGAAGAAAATTCTGTTTTGGGGAGGGGTAAGCAGAATTGCAGAATATCACTCCTAATTTCCTCATTTTCTGTATTGTGGTCCCTTAGTTTTTCCC